TTTATAGATTAGATACTAAGCAAGCGATTTTTTTAAACGCCTAGTAATAGCAGCGATCCAGCGACTTAATAGCGGACTTGCGGCGGCCATTCTGACACGGGGGGGGCCGGGACTTGGTGTTCCACTGATCAATCCCCAGTTGCACCAATACAGTGAATATATATTATTATTAGCATGAATGTTTAATGTATTATGGTATGTATGTATTGTTTTATGTTTTTTTTGGTTTTTATATATTTTTTGGTTGTGTTTTTTTTTTATATATTTTTGTTTAATTGTATTTTTTTTTATTTTATAGTTGTTGTTTTTTTTTTTTTTTTTTTTTTTTTTTTTTTTGTTTTTATTTTTTTTTTTTTTTTTTTTTTTTTTTTTTTTTTTTTATTTTTTTTTTTTTTTTTGTGTGTTGTTTTTTTTTTTTTTTTTTTTTTTGTTTTTTTTTTTTGTATGGTTTTTTTGTGTTTTTTTTTTTGAATTTTTTTTTTTTTTTTTTTTTTGTTTTTTTTTTTGGTGTTTTTTTTTTTTTTGTTTTTATTTTGTTTTTTTTTTTTTTTTTTTTTTTTTGTTTTTTTTTTTTTTTTGTTTTTTTTTTTTTTTTTTTTTTGGGTTTTTTTTTTTTTTTGTTTTTGGTTTTTTGTTTTTTTTTTTTGTGATTTATTTTTTTTTTTTTTTGGGTTTTTTTTTTTTTTTGTTTTTTTTTTTGGGTTTTGGGATTTTTTATTTTTTTTTTTTTTTTTTTTTTTTTTTTTTTTTGTGTTTTTTTTTTTTTTTTTTTTTTTTTTTTTTTTTTTTTTTTTTTTTTTATGTTTTTTTTTTTTTTTTTTTTTTTTTTTTTTTTTTTTTTGTTTTTTTTTTTTTTTTTTTTTTTTTTTTTTTTTTTTGGTTTTTTTTTTTTTTTTTGATAATTTTTTTTTTTTGTTTTTTTTTTTTTTTATTTTTTTGTTTTTTTTTTTTTTTTGGTTTTTTTTTTTTTTTTTTATTTTTTTTTATTTTTTTTTTTTTTTGTTTTTTTTTTTGTTGCAATGTGGTTTGGTTTTTTTTTTTTTTTGTTCCGGTACAGTACTTTTCTTGCCACCAGAATGCACTGGAACTGCAAGCACTGATGTGAACGAAGACATTGACAACCATAGAACCTGCTTTCTGTTTTTTTTGGATGCAGAAAAAAACGCAACTTTTTTTTTATTTGTGAACCGGCCCTAAATCCTTTTGATGAGACTGTTGAACAGATTTTTTATAGACCTCTTTTGGCCAGAACAGAACAGGAACTTTTTTTTTCTGCGAGACCTGTGCAACTTCTCTGTGGGGGAGACTGCTAATGTTGCGTCTCTCAAGTCCAATTTTTTTTTTTTTTGCGGTTTGTTAGATTTTTTTTTTTTTTTTGCTGAACTGTTTTTTTTTTTTGGCAACCTCCCATACCATAATTTGTGATGTAAAGAAGCACAGAACTGTCCCTAAATACTACTTCCCCCCCCCCCCCATCAGTTGTCCCTAATATTCAGGGGCACGCATGTGCACTGTCCCTGTATCTGAGCTCACTGTTCATAGAAATTGGCCTGTCCCTGCCAGTCATGCACAGTACAGCTTACATCACCCTCTGTAAAGGAGAACATGAAGGGTATGAGGGGTGGATTTCACTTTCTGGGGTGTGTCCTTAAATAATTGTGAATTTTGTTTTTTTTTTTTTTTTTTGCTTAGTAAAATCTTTCTCCTTTCTTTGCAGGTTGGATGAGGCAATCGCAGCGGCTGCGCTCACCAGCTTGTCCTCGGGTCCTATGGCGCTGGGAGCTGGAGCAGGTACAGCTCACTTTCATTGTTCTCTACTCCCTGCAAACTGTGGCATAGCCTCAGCCTCTCCACTCCTTAAAAAGTAAAGCGCATTCACCACCTTGACCCAGAAGTTGCCCCAAGGCTCTCTCGGCAAAGCTGGGTATCAAAGCCCACTATGGGAAACCATGGCTGCAGCCTGTTGTTAAAGCTGAACTCCGGGCATGATCTTAATTGCGCAGTGACATTAGTCCAGCTTATGTGATGGGCCGCTGTGGAAGCTGTAGTCAATGCATTTGCAGTAGTAGTCACAATGCCCTGGGTTTTGTGGCTGCACCATTGCACACTGTCCACGGGTGGTATCTTGCTTGGCACCACCACCATTCATAGAAAGACTTGTTTTCTCTGGTGGTGGTAGTGACTCCCTGCGGTCAGTATGCAGTGGAGCATCAACTCAGCACGTGACCTGGAGGAAAGCAGTGATCATTGTAGTAGTGGCAACTAGTACAATGATTTTATGTGTGTATGTACAGTTGTGTTCAAAATAATAGCCGTCGGACATCACTAACCGGATCAATCACTGTTTTTGGTGGAAATGATATTTCTACATGGCAAATAATTTCCTAGCAGGTGTAGTAGAGTAATAGAAATCCAACAAACCCAACAGTCATGACATGCATGCTGCTGATTCTGTGTCATTGAATCACTCATTGAAAGGGGCGTGTTCAATATAATAGCAGTGTGGAGTTCTATTAGTGAGGTCATTCATTCTTTGATAAACAGGTGGCAATTATTGCCCTTATTTAAGGAAGGAAGGCAGCAAATGTTGTACATGCTAGTTACAGTGCATTTCTCTCTGAAATTCTGAGGGAAATGAGTCGTTCCAGACATTGTTCAGAAGAACAGCGTACCTTGATTAAAAAGTTGATTGGAGGGGAAAACATATAAAGAAGTGCAGAAAATGATCGGCTGCTCAGCTAAAATGATCGCAAATGCTTTAAAATGGCAACCAAAACCTGAAAGACGTGGAAGAAAGCGGAAAACTACCATTGGAATGGATAGAAGAATAGCCAAAATGGCGTGGACTCAGCCAACAATCAGCTCCAGGAAGATGAAAGAAGGTGTGATATTCCCTGTGAGGACTGTTACAATTAGAAGACGCCAATGTGAAGCCAAGCTATCTGCAAGAAGCCCCCGCAAAGTCCCACTGTTGGGAAAAAGACGTGCTGAAGAGGTTACAATCTGCCAAAGAGCACATTGACCGGCCTAAAGAGAAATGGCGCCACATTTTGTGGACTGACGAAAGGAAGATTGTTCTTTTTGGGTCTAGTGGGCGGAGACAGTTTGTCAGACGACCCCCAAACACTGAACTCAAGCCACAGTACACTGTGAAGACAGTGAAGCATGGTGGTGCAAGCATCATGATATTGGGATGTTTCTCATACTACGGTGTTGGGCCTATTTATTGCATACCAGGGATCATGGATCAGTTTGAATTCATCAGAATACTTGAAGAGGTCATGCTGCCTTATGCTGGAGAGGAAATGCCCTTGAAATGGGTGTTCCAACAAGACAACGACCCCAAACACACCAGTAAACGTACAACATCTTGGTTCCAGACCAACAAGATGGACGTTATGGAGTGGCCAGTCCAATCCCCGGATCTTCATCCAATAGAAAACTTGTGGGGTGACATCAAAAATGCAGTTTCTGAGGCAAAACCAAGAAATAGAGAAGAACTGTGGAATGTGGTCCAATCATCCTGGGCTGGAATACCTGATCACAGGGGCCAGAAGTTGGGGGACTCCATGCAACACAGATGTACAGCAGTTCTCAGAAATGGTGCGACTACAACCAAATATTCATGAAGTCATTCAAAGGAAAGCAAAATCTTCAAACATTTCTCAGTTTATATAGTGAATGTTTGAGTTTGTAAAGAAGAATACAAACACTGCGATTTTTTTGAACCGTCTAATATTCACTTTTCTTCCATTTTTTTTAGAGGAACAACACAAATTTGATGTATTTTTCTTCATGTTTTGATTTGGAATAGAATGTGTCGTGTTCCCAATGCATTTGTGTGGATGGAAATAAAAGCTATTAGAAGGATTTTCAGCTTTAGTCACTTTTTTCAACACGCTGCTATTATTTTGAACACAACTGTATATATGTATGTATGTGTGTGTGTATATATGTATATATATATAGTGTATATGTATCTATGTACACACCAAGATTTACACAACTTCTATAAGTTTTTTTATATTGTTTTTAGCCCATGCTCCTTCTGCGCATTTTTTAACTCTTTCTGAGTGCACCAAATACCTGCTTCACTGCCAGCAATCCATCTGTCCTTAGCTCAGGCATTGGCTGAGCTGAGAACCCTCCCTCCCCCTCCTGAAGACTCCTGGGATGTATGACATCATTTGCCTAGGCATGGAAATTGGGAAGTAAAAGAATGCGAAAAAATAAAGGTTAAAAGAAATAAATCTGATATGCTCTCTTGTCTGTTTACTAATGTTGGCAGCATAGGGACTAGAAATGGTCCGTGATGATTGAGAGCGAAGTTCCGCTTTAATGATTTGTGTGTGTGTTGCAGGAATAGTTTATTATGCATTTTTCATTGTGGTTTTTGCAGCGGTTTATAACCGCCCTGTACACGGCATTCCATTTGCACATGTTTTTGTTTTCCTTGTCCTTGCAGGAAGTCTCGGCGAGGCCTGCGCCATGAACCCCATCTTCTCCTATAGCTCTGGTGCTTCCAATGGCTGTGACTTTTACACCTCCTTCCCCTCCACGCCGTCTCCTCCTCTGCAAAACGCCCCCTTGTCCGCCCATTCCGACGCCGGCCTCGAGGATTCCGACACCACCCACTTCCTGTTTGGTGACCCCACCCCCCGAAAGAGGAAGGTGGGGCTTTTTCTTTTTAGACCTTTTCCTATGGTTGTTGTTGGCTAGGTGACACTTAGGCTCCTTTCTGCGTTTTTTTTTTTTTTTTTTTTTTTTTTTTAAACAGAATTCCGGACGTCTCATGTTCCGCTGCCTGTGGAAAAACTGTGGGAAAGTTCTCAGCACATCAACAGCCATCCAGAAGCACATCCGGGCGGTGCACTTGGGGTGAGTGTGAGCGCCTGCTCTCGGCCTGACCTGGCTGTTCTGTACGGTGCATTTGGTACAACACCGTGTTTGTCTCCCGCAGGCGCTGCGGAGAACAGGGCCACAATGATGGCGAGGAGGATTTTTACTACACAGAAATGGATGTGAATGTGGATACACTGACAGACGGACTGTCCAGCTTGACTCCCACGTCGCCCACCACCACCGGCCCCCCACCCTTCCTCTGTCCAGGGTCCCTTGGAGCAGCCAACAGCACAGAGCTGCCCCTAATCTCCCCGCTCAGTCTGTCGGCACCTAGCACGCTGTGCCATGTGCACACTGACCATGCTTACCAGGTGACTTTATATTTGCAATTAGTAGTAAGATTTTTCTACTTTTTATATATCTTTTTTTTTTTTTTTGGTCTAACTCTGTTATCTCCTGAATTCCAATGGTATTACTTTTTTTTTTTTGTTTTTTTTCCTTTTCTTTTTTTTTTTTTTTTTTCTTTTTTTTTTCCTTTTTTTTTTTTTTCTTTTTTTTTTTTTTTTTTTTCTTTTTCTTTTTTTTTCTTTTTCCCTTTTTCTTTTTTTCTTTTTCTTTTTCTTTTTCTTTTTCCCTTCTTTCTTTTTTTTCTTTTTCCCTTTCTTTTTTTTTCCCTTCTTTCTTTTTTCTTTTTTTTTTCCCTTCTATCTTTTTTCACTTCTTTCTTTTTTCCCTTCTTTCTTTTTCTTTTTCTCTTCTGTCTTATTCTTCTTTCTTTTTTCGTCTTTTATTTTCTTATTTTTTTGGTCTAGTTTGTCTCTGTCCTTTCCCTTCCACCTATAAGAAAGCTGTCAATCCCTAAAAGCGGAAGTCACCGAATGTTCTTTTATTCTGCATTATGGAAAACTGTACCCAAGTGGGTGATGCCACCATTGTGTGGGATGGAAAGGCTTACCACGGTGCCTCTGAAAGATACAAAGCAATACCTTGTCATTCAGTTTTCCAGTTGGCAAGCCTTTGCCGTGAAGTCAGGGACATGCCACAGTAAGAAAATGTAAATTAAATTAGGGAGGGGGAAAGACCAAGCTTTTCTGATCATTAAACAAATCTTTAAGTATTTTATCTGAGCAAAATGAAAAAATACCTTTTTTGATCTGCCAGAAATCGGATGAGATCCTAACTTTTTGAAGTGCGCTGCTATGTTCTCCATAGCAAAAGGAAAATTTTCTAAATTTACAGTCTTTAATATAAATATATATATATATATATATATATATATATATATATATATATATATATAATATATACATATATATATATATATATATATATATATAATAAAAAAACAAAAACCCAGTGATGATCAAATACCGCCAGAGGAAAGCTCTATTTGTGTGAAACAAATTATATAGATTGAATATGGGTACAACTCTGCAACAGCAGAGAACAATGGTAAGTGGGCACTGCAGCGACCTAACCGCAAAAAAAAAAAGCTTTGGCCATACTTCTTATGGTTTCTGTATCTGAGAGAACTGCAGCCCGTCTAAGGAAAGTTCTTTCGGAGTTGGTCATCCTTTTATTTAGGGAAGGTTTGCAGCCTGAAGGCAATTCTGGCATTGTTGTGTTTTTGATGTTTGTGTTTGTACCTTTTGTCGGCAGGCTCCTTCTCCCATCAGCGTTTCTGTGACATCCAAGGTGAGCCTATCCTGGCAGCCTCCACCACTGCTCATCAAGGCACCTCCAGTAAGTCCTGTATTATTCCTACTACAAAAACATAGATATGGGTTTTAATGGCAGCTAAAGCATAGCTGCTAGGTGATCAGGGGTTACTGATACTGATTTGTGGACTGCTCTGTGTACTTTCACTGCGGTGGGACAGCCGCTCTGCGCTGGATCACTTACGTGTACGTGATCCAGCATTTCTGGGTAGGGGCCCGCCACCTTTAACAGTGCTGTCATTTGGTTGATGATTGGCCAGTGATTTATGGCCCGGACCTGCCAATTTGGCATAGCAAATCACAGTACAGAGCCCGGTGTTTACTAACAACACAGGGCTCTGTACACAGAGCAGGGATGAGTCTGTGTTGTGTGTTTTTTTTTTTTTTTTTTTTTTTTTTTTCTTTTTCCCCCTCAACCACATCTCTTAGGAAAAGCAGCACACATTACACATTGGTAGGTACACAGTTAACCCTTTTATTGCCCCTAGATGTTAACCCCTTCCCAGTCAGTGTCATTTAGTACAGTGACAGTGTATAGCATTGGCACTGGTTGCTCTGTTGGTGTCACTGGAGATGTTAGTGTCCATTCCCACCCAGTGTCAGTTTGTCCGCCGCACTACCACAGTCCCACTTCAAGTCACTGATCACTACCATTACTAGTCTTAAAAAAAAAAAAAAAAAATACAGTATATTTTACCATAGTTTGTAGACGCTAATAACTTTCACACAAACCAATCAATAAAAACTTTTTTTTTTGTAGCATAAAACGGAAGATTTTTTTTTTATTGGCTATGTTTAATAGCAGAAAATAAATATTATTGTGGGGTTTTGTTTCCAAATTTTCAGTCTTTCATTTATATAAAAAACACGCAGTGGTGATCAAATAACACCAAAATAAAGCAGTTTGTGTGGAAAAAAAAAAAATTATATAAATTTCACACAAACGAATCAATAAACACTTTTTTTTTTTTTTTGGGTTTTTTTTTTTTTTTTTTTTTTTTTTTTTTTGCCAGACATGTAGCATAAAACATTTTGGCCTTTATGAAGATTTTTTTTTTTTTATTGGCTATGTTTAATAGCAGAAAATAAAAAATATTGTTTTTTTTTTTTTTTCCAAATTTTCAGTCTTCTTTCATTTTATATAAAAAAAAAAAAAAAAACCCAGTGGTGATCAAATCACACCAAAAGGAAGCTGTTTTGTGTGTGGGGGAAAAAAAAGTTATATAATTTGGGTACAGCGTTGTATGACCGTGCAATTGCCAGTTAAAGTAGCGCAGTGCCAAATATGCCCTGGTCACAAAGAGGGGGTAAAATCTTCTGTAGCGTAAAACGGAGCTCCACCCAAAAGGGGAAGTTCCGCTTTAACCCCTTTACACCGGCCGCACACAAATGTGCGGCCTCCCAGAGTCTGGGCCTGGACGCCGAGCAGCCGCACATTTGCGTTCATGTAAGAAAAAAACATATGTGCTGAGAGCGCGCACCCAGCACACATGTCCGGTACTCATGGAAAGGTCCCGGTCTGCTCTTTCGATCGGGACGTTTCCCGATCATGTGACCGCCGTGACGACGCATCACGGCGGTCACATGGGGGGGGGGGGGGTGAATTGACAGGTACCCGCTCCCACTTCCACTGCGATCGCCTAGGCCAGGGGTAGGCAACCTGCGACTGTCCAGCTGTTGCAGAACTACAAGTTCCTTCATGCCTCTGCAAGTCATAGCTGTAACTGTCATTTTTGTTGCAATGCCTCATGGGAAATGTAGTTCCACAACAACTATAGAGCCGCAGGTTGCCTACCCCTGGCCTAGGCGATTGAAAGCATAAGTTGTCCGTCTGTCCCACCTCGTGCCAGGTTCCAGGAGACGACGGGACCATTCAGAAAGCGCATGCGCAGTGGGCACCCAGCTGTGAAGTCACAAGCTGTCACAGCCGGGTGCCCACACTGAAGATGCCGGCGCCAGGAACACAAGGCAGTCGATGAACCGGGCTGCAGTGTGGGGGGGCACAGCGGGATCGAGGGACGGGTGATTGGCTGTTTTTTTAAACGTCAGCAGCTACAGTCTGTGTGTGACTGGAAACTCCGTAAGTGGATATTATAAGGTCTTTGTGTTGTTAAAAATATATTGAGGGCAGGGGCGGACTGACCATTTGGAAACTCGGGTGCTGACCGAGGGCCCGGGGTCGGTAGGGGGCCCCATGAGATGCCCCTGGTACCTTTTTCATAGGCTTTTTGGAGTTTGGGCAAGGGCACAAGGGGCCCCATGATCCCCTATTGCCCAGGGGCCCCATGAGTTGTCAGTCCGCCCCTGATTGAGGGTGACATTGCTAACCTCTCCGAAAATGCTATTTGCCTGGCTTCCAAGCTGGACACATGGATTTTATACATTTTTTGAAATGATTTTCATGATTTAAAAAAAACTTCACGCCTCTCCTGAACCCCTCCTGTAGGTCCACCCAACGCTGAGTATTGGGGACAAGAGGCCGCCGATCCTGACCGCTACTCCCAATCCCAAGCAAATGACCGGGACACGGTGAGCACCGCCCCCCCTCTCCATATGTCTCTCTGTGATGTGTGTTGCCGTGTGCCTGAGGGCCCCGCTGGTCAGTGGTGTGGTGTTACCCAATCGTGTTTCAGCTGAATCTGTGAATCTTTTCGCTGTCACGTGTCCGGTCAAGTTGTCGTAGGAATTTGTGTTAGCTTAGCAGAGGCCAGCCTCTGACCCAGGGCGACCCCTTTCTTCCTCTTCTCCAGGAAGCCGCGAGGGGAAGCCAAGAAGTGCCGCAAGGTCTACGGGATGGAGCGCAAGGAGATGTGGTGCACCGCCTGCCGCTGGAAGAAGGCCTGCCAAAGGTTCATAGACTGATGATGCGTACAATCACTTCACCTCAACCGCCCCTAAGGGGCACACCTGAGCTGCCTCAGCTCTGTTCCCAGCAAGAATTTGATTCAGGACACTTGTGATACAGCTGATATTTTTATAAACGGATTGCAATTTTCTTTTTTTTTTTTTTTTTTTTTTTTTTTTTCTACGGTCTGGATCTGGACACAGGAGACGGTCACGCTCAATAGGAGCCTTCTTCAGGTAGCACCACGCAAATTCCTGAGGTTCCCGCTTGCGGACCGTTTGGTGAGAAAGAAGAGTGTTTTGGTTTTTTTTTTTCTTCTTTTTTAATCGTGAGACGTGTTGGAGGGGAGGGAGGGGAAATGATGGTGGTGGTGGGCGGGGTGGGGAAGAGGGTGGGATGAGGCGTGTTTTTAAATTTTGTGTTTCTTCCCGTTTTGTAGGGCGGTGTTAAACTCTCGCTGCACTTTGCTTTGCACTTTGGGGATGCTCTGTGGATGGGGTGGGTGGGTTTGATTTGGGGTGGGTGGGGGGGATAAGTATTCAGGAGCAAAGGGTGAATTTTTAAGAATACCTGTTGCTGGCATACAACGGAAGCCATGATGTCACACTTGTGACATCACTAGCCTAGGTGACCACATGACAGGTGTACCTTCTTGGCACAAGGGGGGCTTATTCAGTACAGCAGTGATCTTTTGCAGCCAATCAGCTTTGATCTTTTTTTTTTTTTTTTTTTTCCTGATTTGACTGTAAAACACTCAGACCTGGCTGTGTGGGTATTAGAACACTGCTTTGCTGAACAAGCCTGGAGGGGTTTTATAGATCCAAAACTGGATGCCTCTGGAATTCTAGATTTCAAAGTGTTTTTGATGTGTAAGCCACGAGGTATGTCTCCTGCGGAGGGGTGGGACAAGCTGCACATCAAGGAATTGGAGCTTCGGTGACAAGCCAATAGTTTTTTTTTATTATTTTGGATGGAGTGATGGGGTGTTAGAACCCCCGTCAGGTTATTATTGATGTCTCTGTCTCCTGTTGTGGACAATCGCCCTCTCTGTTCATCCCAATAACCATTGAGGGAGATTTACTGAAACCGGAGCGCTCAGAATCTGATGCATAGTAACCAATCCTAACTTCAGCTTGTTCAGTAAAGACAAGGCTCACACATAGGTGACTTCACTTGTGTTTCCATGCGCGCCGAATCGCACAACCGTCCAGATTACATCTGTTCCCATGGTGTTGGTGCACATATATGAGAGCCAATCGCAGAGCGTGTTGTGTGCATGTTCAAAAAGGGTTCCGTGCGAGATTGAAGCAGTCCGTCTTTCAATTCGTAGGCTGTTTTGTGTATTGACACGGAACTGAGAGAGAGGAGCCAAAATCACACCTCCGCTGAATTCGCCCCTCTGCTGAAATCGCCTTTCCACTGAAATCGCACCGGCCATCGCATTGACTCTGCAGTTACATTCACACAGAGACGTGTATTTAAAATCACAATGCGAAACGGAGCGATTTCAGCACACACGTGTGTGTACCTTGGCTTAGCATTGGTAATAAAACCTGGAAGCTGATTGGTTACTTTGCACAGCTGCGTGCTCCGGTTTTAGTCAATCATCATGGTTTCCTGTACAGAAAGAAATAGGAAATCCACAATTTTATTGTTGGGGAAAGCTTCCAATGGGAGATACCTGTCTCCGGATATTTCCATTCTCCTTGGAGAGATCTCCTTTTACTTTCTGTTGCATCTCTGGGACAGGAAGTGAAGGCAAAGCTCCCAGATGGGGCCACAGACAGGAAAAATTATAACCTGACAGGGCTTTACATACCCTTTACTTTGGCTTTAAATACACTGTTAAGCAACTGTTCTCAACCATAAGGTTGTCAGGGTTTCTCCAGAAGGTGCTCAGGGGTTCCTCCAGAAGGTGCTCAGGGGTTCCTCCAGAAGGTGCTCGGGGTTCCTCCAGAAGGTGCTCGGGGTTCCTCCAGAAGGTGCTCGGGGTTCCTCCAGAAGGTGCTCGGGGTTCCTCCAGAAGGTGCTCAGGGGTTCCTCCAGAAGGTGCTCAGGGGTTCCTCCAGAAGGTGCTCAGGGGTTCCTCCAGAAGGTGCTCAGGGGTTCCTCCAGAAGGTGCTCAGGGGTTCCTCCAGAAGGTGCTCAGGGCTCCTTGACCCATACCTGATTGACCTCCA